AGTCTTTATTCTTTATATGTAATTTAAAAGCAAGCTTTTCTTTATAAAAACTTTAATTGAATTTCAATAAAATTAAAAGCATAACCTCATCGTTAATATTAAAAAAAAAAATCTTAGATATATAGCACATGTTATAAATCTAATTACTAAGGATATTGTTAAACATACATTTGCATATTAATTAATTAAAAAAACCAATTTTATTGTTAAATATTTTAACAAATATTATGTGAAAATAACTTACTAAGAACTTTAATAAAAAAATACAAGATTATTAGTAGTATATTCAAAAAATATGTTAAAACAAGATGGATTACATTTTATGAATGTATATCTTCAATTTTTCATCTTAAAAATGTTTAAAAAAAATTAGAGATAAACATACTCAATATATTTCAAATAATAAACTTATTACTATTTTAAAAAGCTATGGCTTTTTTGATAATATTTAATATTTAGCAAATATACTTTTCTAATTAAAAATGCAATTCTTAAAGTCAAAGGAAGTCAATCTAATCTTGCAGATTATTATATTGCTCTTCTTAAAATTAGTACTGCAATTACTATATTATTACAAAATAAATATCATAAATTTAGGAACTATTGCATTCAAGTATTTAATAAACAATATGATAAATTTGATGATCCAAATTATTTTTTGACATTTTTTTTATATTCAGCTTATAAAGGAGCAAGACTCAAATTTGAAATATTTCCTAAAATTACATATTATACTGATGTTTTATAAAAATCTTTAGAAAAAAGCAAGAAAAGGTTTGAATCATTAATAACTTAATTATAGAAATACAAATTGCAAAAACATTTTAATGAGCTACTGAATGCATATTCTATGCTTTACAAATTTAATCAAGATACTTTATTAAGTTGGTGAACAACTTGTAAAATAAATTTGACTCAATTACAACATTTTGCTTTTGCAACTTTTTTTGTTACACCAAGCAATACAGCTTGTAACTGTACATTTTCTACTCAAAATTAATTTTATAAAAAGTGATGCCACCAAATGAATATACAAACTTTAGAAAATATCACAAAAGTTTATCATTTTAATATCTCTTAGATTGAATTAGAATTTAAACATATAGAAAATAAAAAATTAACAATAAATAATATATATATGTTGTTTAATTTTTTGTTTAATAACATCAAAGAGAAGAATAATATTCATAAGATAATAAAATTGATTAACTTACTATTTTAGATTCTATTAATCTTACAATTAAAAATTTGAAATTAGAAATTAATACATTTGTTGATTTTAATTTACAAATCTTTGAACCATTCAATAACAATAAAAATAATTTTATTATTAATGAAAATTTTGAAGATAATAGTACAAGTAATTTCGATGATTATGATCTGAAAACCATTATCCAAAATATGGAACTCAATGAGGTTTAGTAAAATTTTAAAAAATTAAATGATTTATTTTTTTATTTAATTTCTAATTTATTTACATAGGAGTGACTATATATATAATTAAAGTTTGCATAAATCTTATATCAAGCTGTCTACCAAAAATAGAATATAACTTACTAAATAAATTCTATTTTCTGATATTATAATATTGTTTTTTGTATATAAAAATTGTAAGCAGATATAAATGTAAAAATTTATGTATTAGCAATTGATAGATATAAAAAATTTAATTGCATTTTGCTTAAATTAAATATATATATTGCTTTCAGCAAATTTAAAATACAATTTTAATGTTTTCATTTTATTTGAGGGTTCTTAATAAAAAAATTCCAATGTTAGACTTTTTGTTATAATTAATTTTTTACTTTCGCATGATTTACTTATAATCATAATTTATGATCTTGTGACTCTATGTATATACATATCAACTTTTGTGAGTTTGTGACATTTAATTTTGTGACTTTGTGATCATTTTTTTTTTGCAACAAAAAAAGGTTGCGAAGGTTGCAAATAATTTAATTAAAGATGTAAAATTGTGACTCTGCAGCAAGCAACACTAATCACAGGCAAGAGGGATTCACTTTGGATCAGGCACTGTCTCTGCTGTAATCGTGGCTACTAGGGTTGTTAAATTGCATTAATTTTACGTAATATTAC